CTGGACTAGGCCAGTCCCACAAGTGTCCAAAGCACACATTACTTCTGCAGTTGAGGCTTGAGGTTCAGGAAGATGTACTGACCCTCCCAGTCTCAAGGAGCAAGGCCAGACTGGAGTTTACTGCTGGAACTAACATCCTAAAAAACTCCCCTCTTTTAAGGGACTCGGGAGAGTGGATAGATCTTGTTGATGGATTCCTTTCTTGTTAGGAAAAGAAAGTAGGAGAGACAGTTATGATGGATGGTAGAGGGGGGCTGGAATGGGAGAATCAAGTGGGGAGGGGGAGGAGAGAGGCAGACAAGAGAGGAATGGGAGAGACCGGGGCCATTTGAGGGGTAGTATGGAAACCTATTACAGTAGAAGCTTCCTAAAATATTCACATATATACAAGTGATCTAAATGAAATCTTCAAATAATGGGAGAGGTAGAGCCCCAACTGGACATCTCTTGTCACCAAATGAAGCTCCCAGTACTCAGACTAGGTTATAACTAATTGAATTGTTGACTAAAGGGGCTCCATGGGAATACTCAAATAACTGAGGCTGTTGCCAGGACTATAGGTTGCTCTCTCCAAACTGACAACAAGGCCCCATTGCTGAAGACAACACCTGCACAGCTCATTAAACATGGAGACGTTGAGCTTATGCCTACACAGAGCCTTCATCCATATGTGCTAGCATCTTTGGTACAGGAAGGTACTCTGCACACTACCAAAAGAGAAACAGAAACAGCCCCAGCCACAAAGACTTTGATCGTCAATGGTGTTCTGCCAGCAAGATATGCTAGTGCAATGGTGGCACACAGCTTGTGGGAGTAATAACCAATATCTGATGACTGAATGAGATGGAACCCATACCCAACCCTGCTCGGGTGACCAAGAACCTGAGACTAGATAGACCAGGGACCTAGTGTAAAACCAAATACTGATGTTCGAAAGAGAGAGAGAGAGAAGAAAGAAAAAAGGAAGGAAGGAAGGAAGGAAGGAAGGAAGGAAGGAAAGAAAGAAAGAAAGAAAGAAGGTAAAAAAGTAGGAATAAAATGACTCCTAATGACATTCTGCTATACTCATAAATAAGTGCCTCGCTTAGCCATCATCAGAGAAGCTTCCTCCTGCAGTAGATGGAAATAAATACAGACCCACAGCAAGACATTATGCAGAGGGTGAGAAACTTTGGAACATTCAGCCCTAAAAGATTGATGTCATCATCAAATACCTCCCCTTGAGGCTCGGGGAACCCTGCAGAAGAAGAGGGCAGAAAGAGTGTAGGAACCAGAGAGGAGGGAGGACACCAAGACCCTCCAAATCAGCATGAGCAAAGCTCATATGAACTCACAGATACTGAGGCAGCATGCACAGGGCCTGCATGGATCTGCACCAGGTCCTTTGCATACATATTATAGCTTCCATTTTAGTGATCTTATGGGATTCCTGAGTGTGAGAATGAGTAGGTATCCATTTCTTGTGCCTTCTCTTGAGGTCCTTCCCTTCTGTTTATTTTGCTCTGATGTGTTAGTTTTTATTTTATATTAACATTTTATTATATTAATGATGTTATACCATTATCCCTTAGAAGCCTGTTTGTTTTCTAATGAGAGACAGAACGGGGTGGGAGGGGAGGTGGGAAGGAACTGGATTCAAGGAAGGCAAAACCACAACCAGGATATATTATATAAGAAAAAAATCTATTGTCAATAAGTGGGAGGAAGAGTTCCCCTCTTTCATGCCTTCTTCCTTTCCTTTTATTTAGGCAAAGCTTACTTTGTGTTCAGAAGCTGAGATGAATAAGATTCCTGACCTCAAAGCAATGCTGGACAGAAGGAGACAGAGAATGGGAGGACATGTTTGCTCAGGGCAGATCAGTGAAATATGAAGAAAAGGAAAGGCCCAGAGCACAAGTGTTTCAGGTGGGAAGGAAGGATAGGTTCTGATCCAGCGTCTCTCTGTGATCCCTCCCTAGACTAGCACTAGTAATCATGCCTGCAGAACCGGACATGGCATCTCTCACCTAAGGCAATCTTACAAGGCCTCCCCTAAGTACACCAGGCCCAGTGCCTTCCTCATGTGAGCTGGAGCAGCTCTGGTCCTCACATAAACAGAGGCGATGGGTCTGACCAAACACACCCAGTACACTAATCAAATGTAATGCTCAAGTGAAGTGGTCCAACTGCCTATTCATGTGCATTTGATATCTCCCTGGATAGAAGAGAGAATTACAGACCCTCTGAAAAAAATATCTTAATGTACAAAGCATTGCATCTGAGGGTCACATGGGTAGAAGAGAACAACCTGGTCAGATTGTGTTTAACTTCCAAGTGGTACAACATAGTTTACTAGTGATGGAAAGGTCCCTCCTCCTCCAAAAGAAGCAAGAACAGGGAGGAAAAAAAAACTGAACCATCCCCACTTGCCTTTTCTCCATGCATGATGTACTTAGAGTCTTAGCTCTTCTCTCGGGGCAGTGGCTGTCAGCAGCTATCAGCTAACGCTGGGCTTGTGTGTATCAATGATGTGCCCCTATTTCCATATCAAGAGCTGTGCCATCACTGTAGTCATTGGGCATGGGCAAACCACCTCTTCAGTCATAATGTCCCATAAAATGCTCAAGGGCCAGGACACCAAAAATGGTCTACTCTATACTTCTGTTACCTGAAAGAAAGTACTCACTTGGGACCAAGTGACCATGTGGCCAACTCCTGGGAATTCCAAGAGGCTAGTTTTCTGACCTTCTCATATAAACTTAGTTGTTACTAGTAGGTGAACTTTTTTTTTAAATAAAAGTATAGCTGAGCATGCTAGAATGTGCCTGTAAACCCAGCCCAGGAAGGCTAAGGGAAGAGAAATGGAGTCCACAGCCAGTGGAAACTGGGTAGTAAGACTGGTTGAAACAAACAAACAGATACAATCCATTAGGTAGGGTAGATGGATCTCTGTGAGTTCGAGGTCAGCCTGGTCTACAATAGTAAGTTTCAGGACAGCCAGAGCTACATCGTGAGAACCTGTCTGTGGTGGTTTGAATAGGAATGGCCCCCATAGACTCATGTGTTTAAATTCTTGGTCCACAGGGAGTGGCACTATTAGGAGGTGTGGCCTTGTTGGAGGAAGTGCATCAATGGGGGTGGGCTTTGAAGTTTCAGAAGTCATTCTTTCTGCTGCCTGTGGATCCTGATGTAGAACTCTCAGCTACCTCTCCAACACCATGTCTGCCTGCGTGCCATCATGCTTCCTGCCATGCTAAAAATGGACTAAACCTCTGAACTGTAAGCCAGCTCAATTAAATGTTTTCCTTTATAAGAGTTTCTCTGGCCATGGTGTCTCTTCACAGCAATAAAACCTTAACTAAGACACTGTCCTAAATAGCAAAAAGGAAAAAGACAAAGAACATATACAGGCAATCGTTTCCCCTAAGTGCACCCTACAAAGAAGTTCTGCAACCTCTTGTCATGGTGCATAGAAGTTTGGGGTGAACAGGGAGGTGGTGAAGAAAATTCTGAAAGGAGTTTTCATTAAACTCAACTTGGCACCTCGAGAGCTGGAGGTGGTTTTGTTTGACCTGGGATAGTAAAGTTATTGCAAGAGTGTGTGCTCTGGACACATAGGGGTCCAGTGCCAACAGGAAGCTGGTAGGGATGGGGGATGTGTTGATTTTCTCCCTCGTGATGCCATTGTCTTTGTCTTTTGAGTGTCTCAAATTGCCTGTACACCAGGTCTGCTAAAAAAACAGTGGTTGTTCAAGCTCCCCAGTGCTGTTAATGAAATCTGGGCACCTCTGGTCTCTGGGCTTACTTCCAGGCTATGTGATTTGACACATTTCTTGAGCTTGTCTCCTGTGCTCTGACCATGCTCAGGCAACTGTGCCTGTGGGGTCCTTGGCCAGAAGTGGGATTGCCTCAGTAAGGAGACAGAAGTACCCCGATCTTACTGGGGTATCAAGTCTGTGAAGACAGAGAAAGTCACAGCTCTGGGTGAGCCCAGAGCACTGTCCACTTAAACTCGGCATCTGAAGACATAACTTAGGACACATTTCCTCCTTTTGGTTTACACCATATTCCATCTCAACCAGGAGAAGCTCTCTTGAGGCTGTTTCTGAAAGATGCACATATACGTTGTCCAGGTAATACCATGCACTTCTCATTCCATCCAGGTGAGAAAGAATGACTACTTTGAACCCCACAATGAAGGGCAGGTCTGAGAACAGTGGCTTGTGCAGAACACCTGGTTTTTGGCACTGCACCATTCTGAGACAACAATGAATCCCTATTCTGTTGCCATAAGAAAGGTGAAGAAAAAGAAACATTTTCTGTGGCAACTGCCCGATATGAACTGTATCTACTTTCTCAGAACCTGGAAAGTGGTAGTGGTAATACATGGGTGGGTATGTCCCTATGTGTCTATGTGTCTGTGGTGTGTGTGTGTGTGTGTGTGTGTGTGTGTGTGTGTGTGTGTGTGTGTGTAATAGATTTTAGATAACTTAACTCAAACCTAGACATACTAGGGAAGAGGGAATCTCAATTGAGGGATTTCCTCCATCCAGTTGATGTGTTTGCGGATCATTTCCTTGGTTGCTAATCTGATGTAGGAGTACCCATCTCACTGTGAGTAGTGCCATCCCTGGGCAGGTGGGCCTGAGTGGATAGTATAAGAAAGGTAGCTGAATGTGCCAGTAAGTAATGTTCCTTCACGACCTCTGTTTAGTTCTTTCCTTCAGGTTCCTGCCTTGAGCTCTGTGGTGGATTCCCTCTACTGTGGACTCTAACCTGTGAGTTGAAAGAAATATTCTCTTTCCCAAGTTGCTTTTAGTCGTGGTGTTTTATCACAGCAACAAAAATGCAACTCTGTGTGTGTGTGTGTGTGTGTGTGTGTGTGTGTGTGTGTGTGTGCGCACGTGCACATGAACGTCTGTGCATATAGGTGCATATGTCTGTGTAGATGTATGTGTACATGTATGTGTACATATGTCCCTCAGTCTGATCTTTCCATCATTCTCATGTGCCACACTTACCTGTTTCTTGGTTGCCTCCTTCGCCCGTCTGTGAAACTTAAGCTTTATGAGCACAGAGTTCTCCCACTTCATTAACAGTTGTCTCTACAAAGCCTGGAAACAGAGGCTCAATGAATGAGTGGGTACACAGGTCAAAGGGAGGGTTGGGGACCTAGAAAGTGGATGAGAACATAGGAAGAGGTGGCCAGGAATGCCTGGAGTGAGGCAAGCCAAAAATTACATGTGCATTATGGCAGGGATGTGAAATAGCAGCCATCCAGGTCACTTCCCAGCATGAACTTCTGGGCTTGCTGGGGATGAAGTGGGGATGAAGGAGCAAGAGAATGTTGATGTCCGTCCGTGTCTGGGGGAAGTGAAGACGACAGATCCTGGGGGTTATCAGGATGTGGCGTCTAAGGTCAGAGGCCAGTGCACAGGGAAGAACCGTACGGAGAAGAGAATGAGTCCCCCACGCCCAGAGTCTGCAGCAGCCACACTGTCCAGCATGAGGCGCTAAGTGGAGAAAGAAAGGCCAGGAGCATGGGGGCTGGGAGCAGTCCAAAGCACGTGGGGGCTTTCTTACTCTGCTGGCTAGCCATGCTGCCCTGGCTTCTAGGCCTGAGCCACTTTTAACCCAGAACCCATTCCATCTCCCCTCCTTTCCAGGCTTGTAACCATCAGGAGCTCAGTGGAGCAATGGCCATGTCAGCCCTACTGGGCCCCTCAATCTCAGCTTTCTGGGGTCCTACCATTGTGTCTTACTTGGGCTTTCTTCCTAACTCACATGTATTCTCTGGAAAGCTCAGAACATAGTCTGCCACAGGTCACCTCCCCAGAGGTGTAACTTGACATGAGAGTGACCCTCCACCCCTCCAGATCTGGTGGTACCTGGCTGAGTGCCGGCTCTTCCCTAGTCACCACTGATGAGTCTGCGGGTTATTTTTTTAATTTTTAAAAATGTATTCTTCTCTCATATATTATATCCCAACCACAGTTTCTCCTCCCTCCTCCCCTCTCAGTCCCTCCTCTCCACCATTTCTCTCCCTCCATCCACTCCTCCTCCGTTTCCCTCTGGAACAGAGCAGGTCTCCCAGGGATATTAACCAAACATGGCATATCGAACTGCAATAAGACTAGGTACCCTCCCTTCATAGTAAGGCTGGATGAGGCAATGCAGTAAGAGGAAAAGGATCCCAAAAGCAGGCAAAACTTTCAGAAATACCTCCACCCACTCCCACTGTTAAGAGTTCCACAAGAATACCAAGCTACACAATGATAACATATATGCAGAGGTCCTAGGTCAGACCCATGCAGGCTCCCTGATGGTTGGTTCAGTCTCTGGGAGCCCCTGGGAGCCCAGATTAGTTGATTCTGTGGGTTTTCTTATCATGTCCTTGACCCTTCTGGCTCCTACAATCCTTCCTCCCCTTCTTCCGCAGGAGTCTCTGAGATCTGCCTAGTGATTGGCTGTGGGTCTCTATATCTGTTTCCATTGGTTGCTGAGTGAAGCCTCTCTGATGATGATTACGCTAGGCTCCCATCTACAGTGAAATGATTCCTAATGGTATTCTCCTCTACTCACAGACAGGAGCCTCTGAATCCTAATGGAGGTACTGAGTGGTGGCTTCTACAACGCTGGGAAATGAAAGATGCCGAGGTGAGTGGGCTCTGCACTAGTTCTGGCCCTGTTGTCCACAAGATTGCAAAGTGCTGGTGAAGCCCAGGACCAGGGGAACAACCTCAGCCCTGACTCTCCCTGAGCACACACCTTGAGCCACTCACCACTTATTCCTGAGCATTTTCCCTGCCAAGTTCCCAACAGGCTAACTGTGAAGGTTCAAGTGCTGCAAGTGTTAATTACCCTATCATTGTCAAGAACCTCATATCTCCTGGTCCCCTCGTCCACCTAGAACACCATACCAGGATTCTAGAACTCACCAGAACCACAAGAAGACAGAAGCAAGCACACTCTCCCTAGTCCTCAACACATATCCTTTCATCCCTGTTGAACTTCGGTCACGATGAGATGTGACTTTCCAAGCCTTCTGCAAAGGAGTGATGTGGGGAACAGTTTATATTGGTTATTTCTGCAGAATCTCCTGTTCTCTCCTTCAATCACCATAACAACCTACATCCTATGAAAAGAGGGGAGTACTCGCTGCAGCCGGAATGGGGAGCCAACAAAAGAAGCCTGACAGAAGTCAGTTCTTCAGGGATCACTTAGCTTCTCACGGACACCTGGTCCCCTGGTGTCATCAATGCCTTTTTCTGATCCCCAGGTGCTCATGGTACCTGTATACTGAGGACATCAGTTCAACGCGCACATCCTTCTTAAAATCGTAGAGCTACAGACTGATTAGCTATCAAATTCCTGCAACAGCCATAGATCAAATAGAGAAAGGTTTGAAATGCAGGCTCTAAGCCAAGAGGATGGTAGACTTTGGAATCTCAAGTTCAACAAGGAGCCCTTGGCCTGGGGAGATGAAAGCTATCATGGGGGAAAGAATGGAGGCTTCTATGTGCATAAATATTGTGAACTGTCTGTCTTCTTTTCATTCTAGAATGCCAGCATACACATTTACCACGTCAGCGGCTGCATATTGTTCTCTGAGATGCTTCCGTGTGCTCTACTCAAATAACAGCAGCAGGCCTACATAGCAGCCAATATAACAATTCACAAACAAAAGCAGTCCCTAACCAAGGGACAAGGGGGAATGGGTTGACCCTCTCAAAGAGTCTGAGACTTTAGGCTGGCCAACCTAGCACCCCTTAGTTTACGAATGTGCTACCTGCAGAGTTCAACTAGAGCCTAGAGGACAGCTCTCGACTCCTATAAGCTCAACCATGTGGCAGCCCTGGTAATAGCCTGTGGGTGTACTGCCACAGCTTAAGCAGAGCACACAGTATGCTAGTAAGAAAAGATGATGGACAGTTCACAATGGTGCAGAAGGAACAGTGGACACTCAGAGCCTAGGGTTATGTTTTCCCACCTTCTTTTGGTAATATCGTCAGAGAAATCAGGACTCTCTGGACATGTGCCAGAGCTTTGTTTTGATGTACCTTGTAATACATATCGAAGGTACTGTACCAGATGAACAGCAGACACTGGCATTCTAAGGCATTGATGAAACACATGTGCTCCTGAGGATGGTAGAAAAGCCAGAACTATCCTAGGGTCTTAGAAACAGAGGGGGTAGTTCCTGTCTGAAGCTCGTAGTCTCAACCAGGACCACAGAATGTTCAGTGTCCTGGAGCATGTCAAGAATCATCTATAGAGCTGAAGAGGCATTGGTTCACCTTGCATCCCCCTCCAGAAATATGGAAGGCACAGTTGCTGGTGGGTTAGGGGTTTGGGGGTTTGGGGGTTCTTATTAGAGCATGTGCTACATATAGCACACTGCTTTGACTCAGATGAGGTGACACAGCAAACTCCAGGCTTTGACAGGCGAGCAAGGCCACAAAGTTATTGTGGTAGCTGTAGGCTTTGATGAGAGGAGCCATGCCTCATGGGGGGTGTGATTCAATGGAGCTTTAGCTGTTGGAGGTATAGGCAACAGGGGAAGATGTCATGTGGAGCTAGAAGCAAGCTCCAGGGTGCATTCTTGATAAAGCCTTGACTTTTGTAAAAGACCATGTTATCTATGATAGAGAAGTGCATGGCTTTTAAATCAACTCTCTTAGAGAAATGAGGGTAGTCTATTATCTAGACTGTACTCATTGTCTTACATTTCAAGAAAGTGATTGAAAAATCATTCAGGGCTAAGTTTGGTACCTATTTTTCCTGTGAAATCTGAACAGCCAGGTGCCAATCCCTTGTTTTAACAGAGAAGGGGAAGTGGTGAGGTGTGTGTGTGTGTGTGTGTGTGTGTGTGTGTGTGTGTGTGTGTGTGTGTGTGTATCTCTGTGAGTGTGCGTGTGTGTCTGTGTGTGTGTGTCTGTGTGTGCAGGTGCACATGTTTGTGCAGATGTACAGATGCCAAAGGTCAACCTTCAGTGCTGTTCCTCAGGTACCAGCTACTTTGTTCTTGTTTTGTTTGGGGTTTGGTTTTGATTTTAGACAGTCTGCCAAGCCTTCCCAGGGAGAAGGGCACAATGAGGTTGGTCATATTGCTTCCGAGCATGGCCCAGCCTCTGTACTGCTCCTCACAGTCCAACTGATACATCTGTCCAGTGTAATGATCACTGAGAAACACCCACGTGGTCTCAGATCCCAGTGAGCTCTTTCCTCATGCCTGGGTTAACTCCCCCTAGACTAGTCAGCTCTCTAGCACTGCAAGACACAACTGAGATCATCGAATTGGACAAGAAGACTATTTGATATTTCAGAAGTTTCTGTCCATGATCAGTTAGTTGGTATTGGAGGTCCCAAGCCTGTGGCCAGTCAGCACATCAAGGCAAGGAGTGAGCTGGGTATCAAAACCACAAGTAGAGGAGAAGAGCAATGTTCAAGGGTCCCCCTCCCCTTGAGAGCATCACTCCCATGACCTGAAGTCATCCCACTTACCCTCATCTTGGAGGTTCTGCAACCTCTCACTAGTGGCATCTCAGGAACAAGCTTTTAAACCAATCACCATTGGGGATTTAACATCAAAAGATTAGTAACACTTGTTTCATGATTCTTTAATCTGTCTCTATACACCAGGCTGGAGTCATCCAATCTCTGCACTATCTTAGTGGTCAAGTTTTTCCCAGGAGTCACACTAGCCCTGACTAATCCCTCTATAGTGACAAGCTATTCTAATTATTTACCCAGGAACCTTGGTGCTGCAGGTCCAATGAGGCAAAAAACGACTTTCCCTGTTTCCTCACTTCAACTCCATAAACTCAGTCAACATCCTTATCCTGCTCCATAGTGAGAACCTGCTTTCGAGAAACCAGTCACCTCTTTATTCCACCACAGTCAACTCTCTCAGGTAGTAACTGCCTTTTCTCTTTTGATTATATGTCTAAAACCAACATCTCACAGGATGAAAGTAGCCTGTGAGGGAAAGGAATTGAAATAATGCTGGTCAAAATATAATCACAAGGGCTTAAGGTGTTGTCTAGTGTAGAGACGGCCTGAGGCATGGAGTAGAGATAATGCGAGAGTTGGAACATTCAAAAGATCATTAGATAGTTTGAGTAGCACTCTGTGTTTCAGAAGAAAGCCACCAGAAACATCTTTCAGGTCAGTTAAACAAAACCTCCTCAAAAATGTGTGGGATATGTTGTATAGAGAAAGGCATAAACAAGTGGCAATTGGCGCTGCAGGAATGGTGCAACCATCTCTTACTGAGATAAGATCAAGACCCTTTCCGATTTTGACTCACTTTCTTGGGATCCTTTGTGATTCCATGTCATAACCCAGGGGTTCCTGCCAAAGCCGGAACATTACCTGGTTTTGTACATAAAGGTGTCTTGGAACATAACCATGTTGCTTCCCTTGTGTGTTATTTCTGGCTGCTTTCACATCACAGGACAAGGCAGACTACTTGTGACAGAAACCTGATGATCAGCAAGGCTGAACTGTCCTCTATGGGGCCCTTGAGAGTTTCCCAGCATGACTTTAGCTCTTTTTTTTTTTCCAGGAAGCTGCTTGAATCTATTAGTTCCCAGGAGAAAATTGAGTTGAGTGTTAGAACTGTGAAGAGGAAGGATTCCCTAGAAAATGATTGAATTTTTTTTTTCCAAGAGACCCTGAGACGGATGATTATTCTTGTTCTCTCTCATTTAATTCTCTTTCCTATTTTTTTATTATTAAATCCTGAGCTAGCAGTTCATCCTCACCCTGGCAGATGTTTGCACAGATATGCCACTGAGCTAAACTCCTATTCTCTGGAGATTAGACATATACACATTGTGCTGATTTTAAAAAACATATTTTTTAAAGTGGGAAAATTTAACTCTCAAGGGAAGAGAAAGCCAGAGGGTCTGAAACTGAAGGCCAGGTAGAAACAAAGAATTGTTTTTTCTGGCCCCATGGTTTGAGGGTTCCTTCAAGAAGTGAATTCAGAGAGCCACCAACAGTAACAGGTCAGCAATGCTGTGTAGAGGACACTAGGGGCTGTGGGTTGAGCTGTGTCACCTGACAAGGTATAATTATGTCTGCAACACATATCCATGAATGCGAATTTATTCGGAAATAGTGTCTTGGAAAGAGAAATCAAGTTAAGATTTGATAATCATGAGTTACACATGAATCCTATGATAATGACTGGTGATTTCAGCAAACAATGGAAATCTGAACAAGGATACGTATAAAGGGTAATTCCATTTGAAGAGATAGACACATTGGAAGGGCAGTCATGTAAAGACAAATTCACGTACTACGATTCCTCAGTATTCAAGGAGAATTGATTCTAGAAAACTCCCATGAAGAACAAAATCTGTAGGTATTCAAGTCTTTTTTACACAATGGCATGGAGTTTGCTTATAACCAACAGATATCTCTCTATATACTTCAATCATTTCTAGATTATTTATAGTATATAGTACAATGCAATTGCTATGAGTAGTGTTACTGTATTGCTTAGAGGATGATGGCAGGAATGGGTTTGTACATGCTCAGTTCAGATACAATTCTTCAATACACAGTTTGTTGAATTGACTGATGAGGGAACTGTGGACATGGATAGCCAATGGTATTGATGCGATGCAGCTACACACCAGCAAACACAATGGATCACCAGCAGCTGCCAGAGGGAATGACAAGGAAGAGGAAACATACTCCTATCTACATCTTGATTTCAGACTTAAGACCTCCAGAAAGGTAGGAGAATGTATTTGCATTGTTTTAGGTCATTTGTTTGTTACTATATAACAAATCTAGTACAGTATGTATGTGATAAATGTTTGATAAGTAACTAAGTGAGTTAATACATGAGCTAATACAAGCATCAACTTAAAGAGATTCAAAGCCAAGTATGTAGGTAAGAGATTATAGGTAAACCAAGACAAAGCAAAATCAGTTAAAGAATCTGAGGCCCAAGAGAATGAACCTTCTCCATATGGGCATATGGTGAAAAACAGAAGCAAGTGTAAGTATTTTCCATCTGATAGT